AGTGACAGAAATCTATATAAAACTGGTTTAAGTTTAAAAAAAAAGGAAAGTGGGGGAGTATTGATTGTCTTACTTAATTGAGAGGTCCAGCAAAGGAAGTGCCTTCAGACATGCCTGAAGTTAGATGCTCAGTCAGGAATCAGTTTTCTTTCCTTTGCCATTGGTCTGCTTTCCTTTGCCCTCTGTATGGACAAAGATGACAGCTCTCTTCTTACATTGCCCTTACAGATAGTATACTGATTAAAAACCATGTACTTTTACTTCCCAATAGTTGTAGCAAACATCCTGGAGGTGAGTCTGATGATCCTTATTGGCTGACTTGCATCATGCATCTTAACCTTTCACCAAGGAGAATTGTTGTGACCAAGGACAACTTTGTTTTTTGTTTTTGGTGGGACTGGGGTTTGAACTCAGGGCTTCACGCTTGCCTCTACTGCTTGAGCCATACCTTCAGTCCTTGACCATGGAGATGCACTGGCTGCCTTGTGCTCACTCTTAGGGTCCTAGCATTAGCTGGGGTCGACTCTGTCCAAACAACATAGACTGAAATGGAGAGGAGAGACAGTTCCCACTAATGCAAAAGAGGTAGAGGCAACCTTAAAATCAAAAAGGCACACGTTCATTACTGTCATCTTTTGGTCTTCAGTTATGTTGCCTGTGCTGTGAGGCTAAAGGGGAAATGCCAGCTGGTATCTAGAAAGAAGAGAAATTAAAACATGATCAGAAGTTAGATGGTTAAGAGGATTTTTGTTTGTTTATTTCATTGATTGGTTGCTTGGTTTTATGAGACAGGATCTCATTATGTAGCCCAGGCTGGCCTTTGCTTCCTCAGATCTGGGATTACAGCCATACACCACCATATCCAGTGACTGAGAGGTTTTTTTTAAACATGATCTTTCATAGAATAGGGTTTTTTTTTTTCTCTCTCTCTCCCCCCCACTACCCCACTGGATACAGAACCCAGGGACTCACATATGCTAAATATGGGCTATCCCACCACCCCAGAAAATATCACAAGACCTGTGTGGATGAGTGACATATAGTTTCATCTTGCTGTTTCAATGTGTAAAGTGCCTTTGTAAACTCAAGATATTATTTTTAATCTAAAAGGTTTGGTGTGTGGCACCTTGCCATAATTTGTATGTTATGTAATGGCATATTTGAGGATGTTAAATATTTTATTAATTGAGAAGTCCATTTGCTTTTGATTTGCTTCTGTGTGTTTGTATTATCGATCAAAGAAAAGTTCTTAAATCCCTCATTTGTAGTCATCCTTTTGACAGATAATACATTAAAACTTCATTAAGCTAAGATTTATTCTTAGCATATAAAATCACAAGCAGTTGCTTTTTTTCTCAACTGACTAGATGTTTTATTATCCTTTGAAAAAAATATTGAAAAGTTCAAATCCAGTTAATTAGTGATATTCTTCTAAGTTTGCCATAATTGTGTGTACCTTTAGGGTTTTCTTTTACCATAAAGATGATTGTAGAATTTACCAACATGAGACTTTTATGTTTTTAAAGTTAATATAGATATATGTATGTATTTGGTGCAAATTTGTACTCATTGCCTACCTTTTCAAAAATAATTTTAATTGCTTATCATGTATATACATATGTATTTCTATGTATACATATGTGTATATATTATATGATAGAGAGGGTAAAGGAAAATCAAACTCAAACAAAGGAATAAAAAGTAAAAATGTTAATCACAAAAGCATATATATGAAACATAAATTGGATTTGAGCATCCCAGCAGCAAGGAGGAAAAAAGGGGAATTCAGCTAATTATAGTGTTGCCATCTAAAATATGGACAGAAAACATCTCCCCTGGTATTAAATTGTAGTACAAATTCCTCATATGAACTGCTTACATGGGAGATACTATGCAAGATAATGGGCAACACAGAGGCAACATGGCTCTTCCTTACAATAATTCTTCATAAAAGCAAGTCCATAAGACTCAACAATAATGACTCTGCCAAGGGGTACTAGACTAATGATATGTAGATAGCATGTAGCTTTCTGATGATCTCCCTTAGTGCAAGGATAGATTTTAGTGATACTTATAAGAATGATTTTCTTTAGATATTTATTAAAATTTATTTTCTCAGGCAGAGTATGATGGCTCATGCCTGTAATCTCAGCTACTTGGGAGGTAGAGGTCAGGAGGATCACAGTTTGAGGCTAGCCCAGGCAAAGTTAGTGAGATTCCCATCTCAACCAATAAGCAATGGTGGTGCATGTCTGTGAGCCCAGCTACTTGGGAGGCCATAGGTAGGAGAATCCTAGTCCAAGGCCAAGACCCTATCTGAAAAATAACTAAGGCAAAAAAGGACTGGGGGCATGGCTCAAGTGGTAGAGCAACTACCTAGCAATCACAAAGCCCTGAGTTCAAACCCCAGCACTGCCAAAAACATTACTTATGATAATGGGATTTAGCTTGATAGTTCTACAGGTACACTGTCCTGTATGTTAGCCATCAGCCATATGTGACTATTTCTTTAATTTAAATTAAGATTAAATTAAATAAAAATTCAGTTCCTCAAGTACACCAGGCACTTGCCAAATGCTCAGAAGTTACATGTGGCTAAGGTATTAGTGCAAGTTATAGTGCATGTCTATCAGCACAGCAAGTTCTCTTGGGCATGCTGCTCTCTGTGTACATTTTCCATGCCCCTCTCTCCCTTCAACAACAAACAACAATGGCTTCCTCCCAAAATGATTTTTGTGGCTTTCATGGTCTGGGGAGATGACATTTTCCCAATAATTTCCCATGATATTTGGCCCAGAGAACCCTTTGTTGGCCTACTTTATACTTCTGTGGTACAAGGAAGCATGCTATCACAGAACAAGTCCATCTTACTAACTTGGCAAGTCTATAGAGTCAGCTAGTTTTCATTTGCCAGATCATATATTGAGCCAACGATTGTAGATGGTCCTGATGAGAAGTATTTAGAGACCCAGTTTGGTTGAACTGCTGCAGAGACTACCCTTAGTGGACTTATTATTAGCAATATTGCTAAGTGAACCTTACAACAATTGCATTAGCTCCTATAACAGATTTGGGTATATTGTTAAAAAAAAAACCAGCTTTATTGAAATCTAGTTAAAATACAGAAGCTGTAGATATTTAATATCTATATTTAATATCTACAGCTCGTTGTACTTGTTGATCATCTTATCAACATTCCATAGTAAGACTATGTGGACTATTGATTCCTTCTGTTAGTCTGTATGATTTGGGGAGAAAAAATGTTTTTTTATAAATCTGAAATTTTTGGGGGGTGGGACTGGGATTTTAACTCAGGGCTTCACACTTGCAAAGCAGGTGCTCTACTGCTTGAGTCACATCTCCAGTCCATTTTGCTCTGGCTAATTTGGAAATGGGGTCTTGTGAACTATTTGCCAAGGTTCAGCCTTCCAAGTAGCTAGGATGACAGGTATGAGCCACCAGCCCCCAGCATAAATCTGATTCTTTTAGTGTATTTTATTTGGCTTTGATTGCTGTTAAAAGAAACAGGAATGCATTCTATTGTTCATCTTCTTTCCATTTATTTGTTCTAACATAATCTTGGTACATGGACATACTGACATAGGCTGACCTAGTGCACTCAGGCCTACAGGGAAAGCATTAATACTCAATTGGCCTTGAGTGCTTGCTTCTGTCTTACATGGGTATACATCTTTGGTCTAGCTTTTCTGAAGTGATATTCCACAATAAATTCCTTTAGAGAAAACTTTTGACTATGGTTGGTGACATTATGTTGCTTGTCTAAATTTCTTTGTTGTATATAAAATAATACCACAAAGTTTTGCTTTTCCAAATGAATAAAGCAGTATACATACTTCATAGTGGTTAGGTTTGGGGTCTCTAGAGCTGCATAGATCAGGGAGTCACTTTTCTTCTCTTGGCTGTACAAATAATCTCATTGAGAGGTACAGCATATCTCTGTTCAAAATTTCCTGGTTCCTAGATACCTCATAACTGAGGCTTTATCATAACCACTGTTGTTCTAGTTTCAAAAATTTGGGACCATTTCCCAAGTTCAAAGAACTTATGGTCATTATTTGTAGTGTTGGTAAGGGATAGGGAATATGGGGCAGTAAACTAAATTAATGAGTACTTTTGTATATCTTTTAAAAATTTAAAGAATAAAGAAATATCCTGAGTTCTTTGGGTGAATTTAATACAGATATTTTTGGTTCTAATAAGACTCATTACTAACACCAGAATTTCTCAAAGATTCATCAAGAGCCCTTTTGGAACCTTCTGTTATTTGAATGAATAAAGCAGTGAGGGAATGATTTACCTTGTTTAAATATAGCAGGAAATTACTTTTCCACACTCACTTTTGACACCTCGTGAAGGTCAGCAATACATTATTATCATACAAAACAATTAAATTTATGTAATGTTATTTTAGGTGTTTATGTTTCATTAAGTCACTGGATTATTATTTTGATGCACCTTTCCCCTACTATTTTGGTATTATAAGTTGTGTTGTAGAGTGCATGCATGTCCACTGGTCACCAGTTTTAGAGGCTACTTCTCTTGATTTGTTGCTGAACAGCAAAAGCTCTAAAGAATAAAAATTATGATTTTCTTCTATATGTATTTTTGATAGCATTGACATTGATCCCACCAAAATTCTATTTTTATTCCCTCAGTCAATAGCAATGTTTTCATGACTGTAACAGCACACACCACACACACACACACACACACACACACACACACTCTCTCTCTCTCTCTCTCTCTCTCTCTCTCTCTCTCTCTCTCTCTCTCTCTCTCCAGCTGCCAGTCTGTCTTAAGGCAGTGGCAGACGCCTGATTGGCAGGCTCTGTTTATTCTGTGACCAGATTCCTTCTAAAAGAAGGCAGGCCATGACTGCCTGAAGCCTATTGGCTGGACATACTCTGGACCCTCCCTTTTTTTTTTTTTTTTCATGGCATACACCACAGCGAAGTCTGTGCGGAATCCTAAACCAGCCCAATTTACATCCATTCATGAATCTGTGACGTCAGCAAGGCTTTGGGCTCCTTTGAGGTGTGCTGGAGGATTGTGTGGGTGGAATCCCCCTCCCCCTTATTTTTCAAATTCTGCAAGGCTCTTTAAATTAACCTTCCATCTTTTTAAAGCAAGAAAATGGAACAGCATGTGTAGGAATTCTTCATTGTTGTGAGTATTATACTCTGTTTTTCTCTTTCATCAGCATTTATCTCACAAGGACAGACAAAAAATGTATTTGTGATTTGAGGTGATTAGAAAACTGATATTACTGAAGGAGACATGGTGAGAGAGACAGGAGGAGAGAAACCTGAAACCCCAAACCCCGTTACAGCTAGGAGCCTCTGAAACTGACAGCTGGTTTTCCTTTGCCTGTCTGCCTGCTAGACGTGGACATTTTTCATTTACGATTCTGCACGTTACTGGATGCTGGCTTGGCTTTCTCAAAGGGAAACTCATTTCTCTTTGAGATGATATGGATGGTGTTAGAGGAAAAGCAGAGAACAACACCAGGAAGGTGCTGGGGAGAGCGGGGCCAGCAAGACAGGGCAGGTTCTAGCTTGTCCAGCACTGTCTTCCCTGCTGCGTCCTTTCTATCACTTCTCACCCTTCACCTCGCCTTTGTTTCATTATTGTATATAACAGTCAATATCTTGCGATTGCAGTTTGGGGAAGATGAATACTTCTCATTCAACCGTTTCTCAAAAGCTTTCTGTTGGGAGCTCTAGGAGTGTATCTATACTATACTTATTTGAAGCTCTTTTTTGTCACTCTGTACACTTTATTTATATTGTCAGAGACCAAAAAGCCTGCACCAGAGGCAAAAAGGGAATTATCCTTTAATTATAATTTTTAAAAATTCCCCCTAATAAAGTGATTTCTTACTGTGTTCCAAAATTATATTGTGTAGAAGTGGATGTATTTTTCTAAGATGAATTTCCAACCGAAAATAGCTTATTCTACTGTATTTGGGAAATATGGAAAAGTTCTGATATGTTCCATGAATGAAGTTGGTTTGCTAGTTTGCTTGTAGTTTTAACAAAACATATTTCTGATGGAATTTGTTTTCCAAAGATCTGGTTTATTCTGGTGAAAGTTGTGATATTAGAGAGATGTGATATTGTGCCAAAGACTGCCCTGGGGCACTTCCTCAACCCAAATAATCCAATCGCACTTTCCAGCCACCTTGCTCTGAGCAATCCATGTACTAGTCTGCAACATGCACTTGGGTTTCCTTCCTGTGGGACAGAAAGCAAAATGCCTACTAGTATTATTACCCAGTCTTGTTGTGTTTGCCTTGTGTAATCAATACTTAGTTTTGAGATTCTTCTATAATCTTTTCTCTTGAAGCAAAGATTCTAAATTATGGTATTAATGATATCTTTTGAATTATTTTTAATGAATCTTCCAGATGTAATCTCATTGAATTTCAAAATTATCATGCCTAAAGGTATAATATTTTCTTTTGTTTCTCAAATTGACATTGTACTTCCTCGTTTTGTTTTTCTGAGGGCATTTGAACTCAATAGAGTTACAGAAGGGAAAACTCTGCCTAATTCTAAATTAGATATTTGTCCTACTCAGAGAATTGTAGTTTCATATTTTTGTTGGTTTTAGTTGCTGAGTTGAACAAGTGAAATAGTTTAGACACAGTCTCCTATAATTGTAAACATCTTGATTTGTTTCAGCATTTTCCTTTTTTGTGTACCTTCATAGACTTTGTTGAAAGGAATTTTAAAGTTATATTAAATTATTGAAGTCTACCAGGTCAAATTCTTGTTATTTTTTAAAATTATGTTTATATAATTGAACTCATTTTAAGAAATGTTCATCAAACATTGTCTTTTATGCACATTTTGCCAAAAAAGAGCTTAATTTCCATGAAAGAAATACAGTCTGTGCTTGGACTTAGCTAAAGTAAAACTGTCCCTTTAAGGTGCAGTGTGGATGTAAAATCCCCCATTCTCCCTATTCCTAATGGCTGTGTTCCAGATTATATTTATTTTCATGTATAGTGTACTTGTAGAAAAAAACAATAACTCTTAATTGTTTAATATCAAACAATAAAATCCTGTGTATCAGTGACTGTCAATAGATGGCTTTCTGTTTAAAAGTTGAAGCTACTCCAAAAGTAAGAATTAATTTATTTAGTAAACAAAGTCAGTCAAACCAGAGCCATGTCCTAGGGAACTGTTAAAAAAGAAAATAAAAAAGGGTTCCTGAGGGCCAGAGGCCACATCTAGCCTCATCTTCTGGTATATGATCCAGCAACCATACATGGGATGGCAGAACCGGTCAGTTTGGTTTGCACTGTCTACCTACCCTCTTTTTGTGTGCTACAGCTGAATTAATTACTTGGGGAGCTCAAATGAATCAAGGTAGCAAAGATGACCAAATATGCCAGGTGGTATAGCCTGACTTTTGTAATTTTGATGAAAATTAAAAAGCATTCTCTAAGAACACTCTGCTACATAAAAAAAAATCATTCAAGGGATATCCTATTCTGTGTCAGTTATTAGTTTATAAACATAGAGAGGAAACAAAGAGAAGATGCAATTTATCTTCAAGGAATTCAGACGTTATCAGAAATAGACTTTTAACATTAGAATTACCTGTGGAGCTCTTCCTCCCTCTCTCCCTTTTTCCCATCCCTCCTCTTTTCTTATTTACTAATTAGTGGTTTTTAGTGTGTTCACAGAGTTGTCAACCATCACCAGCATCGACTGTAGAACATTTTCATCATTACAAAAAGAAGCCACAAACACATTAGCAGTCACTCTTCGTTTCTCCTCACCCTGCCTCCAGCCCTAGGCAACACTAATCATCTCTACATAGAGACTTGCTTATTGTGGACATTTCATGTAAATGAAATCATAATATATTAGCATCTTTATAATGCTTTCAAAGTTCATCCATGATACAGCATATGTCAGTACCTCACTTGTTTATATTACCAAATAATATTTCAGTGTACATAGATAAACCACATTTTACTTACCCATTCATCTGTTGATGGACATTTGGGTTGGCTTTACTTGTTAGCTGTTGGGACTAAAGGTGCTATGTCCATTTATGTACAAGGTTTTGTGCAAACATATTTTTATTTCTCTTGAGAGTAGAAATGCTGGATCATATGATAACTAGATGTTGAACATTTTGAGGAGATGCTGAACTGTTTTCCAAAGTGACTGCAGCACATTACAATCCCAGCAATGAATGAGGGCTCCCATTTCTCTACATTTTTATGAGCACCTGTTATTACCTTTTTTTCTATTGAAGTGGTATCTCGTTGTGGTTTTGGTTTCTTTAATAACTAATGATGTTGACCATCTTTTCATGAGCTTTTTGGCCATTTACATATCTTCTTTAGAGAAATGTCTATTTACACCTTTTGCCTATGTTAAAAACTACATTTTTATTATTGAGTCTTTAGAGTTCTTTGTATATTCCGGATACAAGCTCTTTATCACATATATGATTTGCAGATATTTTCTCACATTCTGTGAGTTGTCGTTTTACTTTCTTGATGATACTGTTTGCAGTACAAAAACTAAGTATTGATGGAGGTCTGTTTATTTATTGCCATTTGTGCTTTTGGTATTAATATCTAAGGAAGCTTTACCTAAGTCAAAGACATTAAGATTCAATCCTATGTTTTCTTCTAAGCTTCTTATATTTTTAGCTGTAAGTTTAGTGGGTCTATAAATCATTTTGAGAACTTTCTTTTTTTTTTTTGGTATGGGATAAGAAAGGAGTTCAACTTCATTCTTTTGAATGTTGATATCCATTTGTCCCAGCAATGTTTGTTTAAAAGACTATTCTTCCTCCTGATGAATTGTCTTAGCATCCTACCAGGAAACTTTAAAAAGGAAAATGTTGATGTCATGGAAGCATGACATCATAGTCTATTGGTCTGTGCTGGGACCCAGTCATCTGTGTTTTGTTAAAGCTCTCTGATGGCTCTAATGTATAGCTGGGGTTGAAAACTATTGGCATGAATAGAGGGTTAGTCTTAGAACTACTCTAGTCTCCTAATTATAAGCAGTGTTATGGCTGGGCTTGGTAGCACAGTTCTGTAATCCCAATACTCAGCAGGCTGAGGCAGAAGGATTCCAGGCCAGTCTGGGCTACATACTACAAACAATTGTACTGCGAATAATCTATGGGCTACATAGTGAGACCCTGTCTCAAAAAGAAAAAAATCTCATTAACTATAAACCAAGGGTTCAACTCACCCTGTTCAGAGTGGCAAGTATGCATCATCACACCCAGATCAATGAGGCTATATTATGCAATCATTTACCTGTTCTTTCTTCAGCTAGATGGTTATGTATATTAAAACAGATAAAAATTAACATGTTTTGTTTACTTGCTATAAGGCACAATGATGCAATGGAAAAGGAGTTGGACTAAGACTGGAAGGACCTATGTAGCAATCTCAGCTGATTCTTGGCAAGGTAGTTACCCTCTTGGTTGTTTTATTTTCCTTCAGTTTTATGGTTTTTGGTTTTGGTACTGGGGCTTGAACTCAGGGCCACTCCACCAGCCCTTTTTTCTGATTTTTTTTTTCAAGATAGGGTCTTGCAAACTGTTTTTCTGGGTTGACTTTGAACCTCGATCCTCCTGATCTCTGCCTTCTGGGTAGTTAGAATTACAGGCGTGAGCCTTTGGCTCCTGGCTTTCCCTCAGTTTTGATTTTAACATAGGGATGAAGAAATTATTCCTAATCATTCCGAATGTTTTTCTACCTCCGACAATGTGAAATTCTGATTGTTAATTACTAGCATCAATTAGGCAAGCAACAATTTCTAAGGCAATCTTGTTAAAATGTACTTTTATTACAATTCTTTCACAGTACCTTAACAGAAGTTTAGCTTCCATGGGATGCTGCTACAGCTGAGGAGGAGGAGATAATGTCTGAAGTGTTTCAGATGGAGATAACTAGGCAAAATCAAAGGGTAAATTATTTTCATATGTGCCCAGGGACTTCCTTACAAGCAGGAAATAGAGTCCTAGGGGATGTGGCAACATACAATTCAATAACTTCGGTTTGGTTCTGTGTCATAGATTTTTTTCCTCAATAGCCTTTCTTTTTCTTTTTCTTTTTTTGAGACAGAGTCACTTTATGTAGCCTAGGATGGCCTTAGGCTTACAGTCCTCCTGCCTTGGCC